TTGTTTATCTGTTTTGGAGAACTCAATCCTTCGTCCATTTTTAAATTGGGATTTTTATTTTATTTTATTGCTGAGTTGAAGTTTGAAGTCCATTTTATCTTTTCTGTTTTGTTGCTGTGCCTTTGCATCATCCAAAAAACCTTTGCCTAATCCAAGGCCATGAAGATTTATCCTCAGGCTTTGTTTGAAGAGGTTTATAGTTTTATCTCTTAGGTTTAGGTCTTCAATCCATTTTTGAGTTAACTTTTATATATAGTGTGAGGTAGGGGTCCAACTTGATTCTTTTGCTTGTGGATATCCATTTGTTGAAAAGACTGCCCCCCCCCCCCACAATTTTCTTGACATCTTTGTTGAAATCAGTTGGTCATAAATATTGTGAGGATTTAGTCCCCAACTCTCAGTTCTAGTCTATTGGTCTGTCCTAATGCCAGTACCACACTGGTTTGTTTATTGTAGTTTTGTAGTAAGTTTTGAAGCCAGGAATTGTGAGTGCTCCAACTTTGTTCTTCATTTTCAAGATTGTTTTGGCTACTCCAGGCCCCTTGGGCTTCCATGTGAATTTTAGGGTCCAGCTTGTCAGTTTCTGCCAAAAAGCCAGCTGGGATTTTGATTGTATTGAATCTACCGATCACTTTGGGGGGTATTGCCATCTTAACAATATTTCTTTTCAATCCATGAGCATGGAATGTCTTTTCATTAATTTGGGTTAATCCAAGTAATTTTAATCCCAATGTTTTAGAAATGAGGGATTGAAGAGGTTCTGCCCGTGAAGATTCTGGAGAAGAGGATCTGATAGGAGGTACTCAGTTAATATATGCGGATGGAATGAATGAATGGAAGAACTGCCTTAAAATAGTATTCCTTCTAAGGACAATGCTTATGAGTTACTGATGGAAAAAAGGTGTTGGGATACTAAGATTTGTGTGTGTGGGCCTGTAGACTCTAGATTTTCCTAACCAGGTAAAGCTGAGGATATGGATCCTGGGTTGATAAGATCAACAGGTGGCCTCAGGGTTGGGGAGGCTCGTTTGGAAGTGGATACTGTCATTGCCTTTTCTGAGAAGAGCATTTCATGCTGAAATTAACAGACATTCTGGGTTACTTGAACAAATAAAGGCAAAGGTTTGCGAGAGTGGAATTTAGTATTGCTTTGTGAACCTTTAGATGTCACCCAAAAGAGATTAGGTCAGAAGCTTCATGCCAAAATAAGAGGCTTGTTCATCTCCTTAATAGAAACCCTCAGATGTCTTTCTTTTAACCCCCAAAGATTTTTTGAGAGAGGGACGGAGAGAAACACTGATGTGAGAGCAAAACATCAATGAGCTGCCTCCTGCACACCCCCTACAGGGGATCCAGCCTGCAAACTAGACACGTGCTCTGTGCAGGAATTGAACTGGCAACCCCCAGGTGCACAGGGTGATGCCCAGCTAACTGAGTCACACTGGTCAGGGCCCAATGTCTTTTCTTGTCGATTTTCTCAGTGGTCTTTATTAGGATCCTGCATTTCAGGTGTTGCGCAGTTGACTCCCAACAAGCCAGCTGGTGCCCATTTCCTACACAGGCTGGCCCAAGAGGCTGTGGGCAGCTGCAGCTTTTCCAACTTGATTTGGCAAGCGGCTAGAGGAGGTCGGAATTAAGGTCCTTGGGAACGGCGGCTCCTTGTGCCTCTTCTTTCGAGGCGTTATCTGTCATTTGCTTTGTCATTTTCTGAGATGTCTCAGCCACCATCGAGATCTAGCTGGGCTTGTTTTTTCCATAGATTAGAGAAGCGCTTCTCGCAATGGGAATGTGCTTTGGGAAGCATGGGAAGGTGGGCTTATTTCAGTCATGTAGGAGCTTTGTGACTCTGGCTAGACTGGCCCAACTTTTTTACTTCCGAGAGAGACGTCCTTGTGGCCAGCGAGGCCAGAGGCCTGGCTCAGTGGCTGTGTGTACCTGCCATTCCTGAGTGGGAGGGGAGAGGCCTATTTGGGCTCCTGGAATTTTTGTTTCTTTTTCCCCCCAGTTCTTCCCCAAATAAGCTAGTCCTCTGAGGTGCACCCTTCACCTCTGGTTTTATCCTTGGAGATTGGCCCCTGCGCTGCCCTCTTTGTACCTGAGTTGAGGCTCTGAGTCAGCCTCCTGGTGGCTCATGTGATGATTTTTTAAAAAATTTATCTTTATTATTGAAAGTATTACAGTATTACATCCCCCATTCATGTTGTGATGATTTGAAGAGTGAGTTGTTGCCCAGCTGGTGTGGCTCAGTGGTTGAGCTTCGACCTACGAACCAGTAGGTCGCTGGTTTGATTTCCGGTCAGGGCACATGCCTGGATTTCGGGCTTCATCCCCAGTAGGGGGCGTGCAGGAGGCAGCTGATCGGTGACTCTCATCGATGTTTCTATCTCTGTCTCTCCCTTCCTCTCTCTAAAATTAATAAAAACATTTAAAAAATAAAACAGCAAAGAGTGGATTGTTAACAGGCGATGTATTCTGCATCAGCATGTCTTCTGGGCAGTGAAGAGAGGGAGAAACCATCCTGTTTTCCATTCCCTGGAAGTACATGTGTTTCACTGCACCTCTGGTTGGTGCCTGTCATAGGGTGTCGAGGCACTAGCTGTGAACCTCTCCCGGGGGCGTGTGGACTTGAGGGGGCTCTCACCCTTCTTTGCCTGCACATCTGCTGTAATCGTAGTGTTCAGAGCACAGCTTGAGGGTAGGCCCACCCTCGGCTGGCTCTCTGACCTTGGGCAAGTCACTCTCCAGCTCTGGTTTCCTCATCTGAACAACAGCATCTCATTGGGTGATTATTGGGAAAATTAGGTAATATCAAATGTAAAATATGAGCACAGTAGTGTGCACTCAGCAGAGAGCCGCCTTCTCTGCTGCACCGTCCTGTCCTCGCTCAGTTTTCAGGTCCATGGTCCCTATGTTCCGTTCTCAAATCCAGAGGCTCTGAAAACTGATCTTTTTTCTTTTTTTAACTACTGCTCTGGCAGCAAGACCTGACCTGAGTAACATGTAGGCCGATTTGGCGTTATCTCTGCAGGATGTGCAACTCGGGGGCGCCTAGGCCTTCCTGGGGTGTTGTGTAAGGACAGTGCAGGGAGGCCCGCGAGTCCCTTCGCTGCTCGAAGGGGGAGTAACTGGTGTTGGGGCAGCTACCCAGAGGTGGGTGGGCATGACTGAGCCTGGCGTGGCTTTGTGGGAGATGAGGACCCAGGGGCCAGTGGAGCCGGGTCTAGTGGCCCCCTTCCCCTTGTGAGTTCAGAGCAAGTTGAGCCTGATTAAGATCAGAGCAGCAGGGCCTTGTGGAGTGGGCCCCACAGCTGTTGGAGGCCTTGCCTTCTCCTCAAATGCTGCAGGCTGCTGGGAAAATAAACCTGAGGGAAGGATCCACTCAGGTGTCAGTACCCAAAGGTGCGTGTGGGTTGGGGCACGTGAGATTTTCAGCTCTCTGCAGGGGCCACTAAGAGCGGAAGAAAATAGGTGAGGGTGAGGTTTTCTTCACAGAGCGAGGACTGTTTTTCTTCCTGATGTGATTGTACGTTTCTAGGAAGCCTCCGTGGTGTTGGAGTTGTCGTGTGTGTTGTGGGAGGGTAAGGAGGACCCCAGCACCTTTGTGGTACAGTATAGCCATGCCTCTGGGCCGGGAGCTAACAAGAAGCTGGGATTTTGTTTAGGGATCCAAGTGTGACAAGCAATTAACATGCAAAGGTTGGGCCTGGACTGAAGCTTGGTGAGTTGGCTGAGAAGGGGCTTTGCACATCTCCTGCCATTTAGATCAGATAGTTTTGGGATGAGTCTTGGTCTCCCTGACAGAGGGATGAACCATTTTCCAGCAAACTCGTGCCACTCGATAAGATACTCCACCATCCTGGGACTTCCCTCTTCCAGGTGGGCAGGGGACCTCAGCAGACAATCCCCCAGGGGCTGACCAGGAGCTCCAGTATGGCTTGTCATTTGCAGGAGGCTCGGGCTGGTGGCCAGGGCGTGAGGACCTCCAAGTGGGACCTGTCGCCCGGCTTGCTTACTGTTTAGTATTTAATCTCCCCATCTCTGTTTCCTTCCGAGTCATGGGGTAGGAAGGATTTGGGGCCCATTTAGAGAAGGTCTCAGGAATCAAGGTTCCTTCAGGTTACTGTCTTCTTCTGGAGTCGGTTTGGCTTATTGAGTGTGTCCCGTGTGCCCATTGTCTTGTCGAAAGACAGTGGTGACAAGACAGCCTTGATAACTGCCTTCCTGAGCCCCTGTCTGAAGGGAAGGCCTGCAGTTACGATAAGTGCCTGCCATGAGGGGGCCCGGGCAGGGCAGTCCGGGGAGGGGCTGCCGGAAGAAAGCAGTGTGTGAGCTGGGCCTGCAGGATGAGTAGGCGTTAGCCCCGTGGAGCGGGGAGGGTGTGCCTGGCACAGGGAACAGGCTGTGTGTGTGGCCCTGCGTGGCCTCTCTGGGGAAGCGCCGTCGCGGGGCCACCGGAGGGTCCTGAGCCAGGGCATGCTGCCCTCAGAAGCTGGAGTGGCCTGTGTTAGGTTCCTGGGGCTGCCCTATGAAGTACCACAAACTGGGTGGCTTAAAGGACACACAGTTTAATTCTTTCTCAGCTCTGGAGACCTGAAGTCCGATATCAAGGTGTGGACAGGGCTCTGCTTGCTCGGAAGGCCTCAGGGGAGGCTCCTTCCTGCCTCTTCCAGCCTCTGGCTCTGATTGCCATTTTTTGGCTCCTGGAGGCATCACTCCAGTCTTCTCTCTGTGTCTTCACATAGGATCTCTCTGTGCCTGTGTCCAAATTTTCCCCCTTTCGTGAGGACACCGGTCATGTTGGGTTAGGGCCCATCCCATGACTTGGCTTTAACTGGGTTACCTCTGTAAAGACCCTGTTTGCAAGTAAGGTCCCCTTCTGAGGTCAACGCTAACGTACCTTTTGGAGGGAGGTGGGTACAAGTCAACCTGCGATCGACGCCGTCTGCTGGGGCCCAACCGGCCGGCAGCCTCGCTCACCAGTCCCATGTGTCGTCCTGCAGAACCGAGCCATAGGGAGGCCCAAGGGGAAGCTGGGCCCCGCCTCCGCGGTGAAGTTGGCCGCCAACCGGACCACGGCGGGAGCTCGCCGGCGCCGGACGCGATGCCGCAAGTGCGAGGCCTGCCTGCGGACCGAGTGCGGAGAGTGCCACTTCTGCAAGGACATGAAGAAGTTCGGGGGCCCCGGGCGGATGAAGCAGAGCTGCATCATGCGGCAGTGCATCGCGGTGAGTGGGCAGGGGCTCCCCGCGCTCCAGCCCCCGCCGGCGTGGAGGTGGCGCCCTCTCTTTCTCCAGGCCCCGGCCCCCTCTGCAATAGATCCCACCTCCCTCTGGGCCAGGCCTGTTTGTTCCTCTGCCTGCTGGTCTGCCCGGTCTCTCAGCTTAAAGAGCACGTTCCCGCAGCAGAAACTCCTGTGCAAAGAAAGGGGCTCCGATGGGTGCTGTTTTCAAATTCCACGGGGCAGGACTTCCTGCCCTGGGCTCAGGCTCCTTGAGCTTCATCGTCTGATGCTCTTACAGCTCCTTCCTTCCCCAGATGACCCGGTGCTTTGAAGTTCCTGCCATTAAAGAGGGACTATCCTGTCTGTGACCCTGTGGCCAGCATTTATGATCCTGTTGGTGCTGGCCCTCCCTCCCTTCCTTCCTGTCCTACCTTCAAAGTCAGGGGTCTGGGTGGAAGGTCGGGGCTCCTCCTGGAGGGGCTGGTTCGGATAAAGAGGACTGATTTATGGTGCTCGGGAGCTGGGCTGCTGCACGGCCTGGCAGGCCCCTCCAAACTTCCTGCATCCCCTTGCCCCGGGCCTTGCGGGAAGACAGGTCAGTGGGCCAGGACTGTGACAACTTGGGGTGTCCTGCAGTCTGCCTGTGCATGCTGCACACAGCCACAAACTCTGCTTTCCCTGGGGTGCTCCGGGGCCCTCCGTGTGGGGGCAGTGATCTCCTGCCCGCTCCTGTGGGAAAGCAGCCTCCGGAGGGACAGGATCCAGGGCGTGCTCCTCCCAAGGCATCCTTGAGCGTTTCTCCGAGGCTCCTGGGCCTTCCAGGCCCAGGGGCACCTTCCCCTTCTCCGTTCACACATACACACTGTTCGTGTTTTGTGTGGGTTTTTTTTGTTTCTTTTATTGTTAAAAAATACATCACAAAGTTTATCATTTTAACTTGTTTTTCGGCAAAATATATTTTTGTACTATATTTGATTACGGATGTATAAAAGAGGTATTTTTTGCATAAGAAACATTTTATTCATACTAAAAGTTGATAAGTTTCAATAATTTGTCAATATATTTTCACTTTTTAAATTTTATTTTATTGTTAATCGTGCTTATTTCCTAAACAAGCAAAAAGCCACTCCCCAGTCCACACAATCAAATAAACAGATGTCTCAGTTTCAGTGCACAAATAAAACATTTTTCTTGTGATCGAACAGATGGTTTTTGTTGTTCATCAATTTTTTTTTGTTTTTCATTTTTACCTAATTTTTTATTAAAAAGGTTTTTTTGGGGGGGATGGATTTCTTTTTACAGTTGACATTCAATATTATTTTGTATTGGTTTCAGGTGTACAGCACAGTGGTTAGACAGCTGTATACTTTACAAAGTGTTCCTCCTGGTATTTCCAGTACCCACCTGGCCCCGTACATAGTTACCACAATATCATTGACTCCACTCCCTCTGCTGTCCTTCACATCCGTGTCATTTTAACCATTTTTAAGTGTACAGTGAAGTCATATTACCTTATGGCCATTGTCGTGAAAGTGATCTCTGGGACTTTTTCATCTCGCCAAATGGAAACTCTGTATTCGTTAAACCACAGCTCCCCTTTCCCCCTCCCCACCCTCCAGCCCCTGGCAGCCACCTTTCTACTTTGTTTCCCAGAGGAACTGCTTCAGAGGTGTGAGTGGAATCAGGCAGGGTTTCTCCTGTGGCTGGCTGTTCTCACTCCGCACAGTCCTCTCTAGGGTTGCCCACGGAGTAGCCTGTGATAGCATTTCCGTCTTTGTAAGGGCTGCCTGATGTTCCATAGTGTGTCACCTATGGCGTGTTCTCCATCCTTTCACCTGTCCAAGGACATTTAAGTTGCTTCCACCTCTTGGCTATTGTGAATGCTGATTGGATAAGCATGGGTGTGCCAGGATCTCTTCAAAGGGCCTGTTTTGCATTCTTTTGGATATATTCCCAGAAGTGGGATTGCTGGGTCCCATGTGATTCTGTTTTTAAGTTTTTGAGGAACCAGGACCATCTCTCCCTCTTTAGCCTTGTTTCCTCTCCCACCCCCTCCCTCCAGCCCAGTGTCCCAGGCCCAGTTAGAGGAACCTGTCTCCGTGGTCGCCGATTCTGTGCGGTTCTGGTGCTGGCCCGGTACCTGGCACAGTCAGTGCAGGGTGGTGAAGGAAACCTCAGTTATGTATGTCTCCCCCTCTCTACCCTGATGTGGCTTCTGGAACTGATGGGAAACACAGACTCAGCCTGATTGGGGGGATGGGGGTGCTTCTTACTCTTTTTCCAGCCTTTTGACTTTGCTGGGATGTCTTACCCACCTCTCTTCCTTCCTAGGCCCTTTTCTCTCTTAATGAGCCAGAGCCTCCCTCTTCCTGTAGCAGCCTTCCCTTTGCCCCTTCTCCCTGAGGCTTCCCCCCCAGACTTGATCCCTTCCCACCATCCAGCCCCATCTCCAGCCCCTGGTTCCCCTGCCGGATCTGTGCAGCAGCTTCCCTACCTCTCATCACCTCTTCCACAGTCAGCTGCCCATTCTAGACCAGCGCCCCCAGTCTATCTCACTG